TATATATATATATATATATATATATATATATATATATATATATAATGAGAAGAGGGAGGAGGAATTAGGTAGTAGGAGATTGTTAGGATCCAAGGAGGCTTGGTGGCTATCGATTGGGAGGGGAGCTATCAAGGAGGGAGGGGGAGGGGGCAACGACGGAGAAGCGGATAGCAAGAGGAAGAGGGGGAAGATGCAAAGAGAAGGAGAAGAGGGAGGAGGAAGAATCACGTAGGAGGCGAACAAGGAGAAGAAGGACGAAGATAGGAAGGAGGACGACTGTTGGTTGTGAGGGAAGGACGGGGGGCAAGCAGCAGAAGACGTTGTCGGAGGGAAGGACGGGGGGGTGGGGTGGTGGGGGTGTGGTGGTGTTGGTTGTTGAGGTCCAAGGAGGCTCGACAAGTGGACAATGACAACAATAGAGGAAGGGAAGGAGAAAGAGGGGCAGCATGATGGAAAGAAGAAAGAGAGAGTTACCGCAAGAAGAAGACGTTGTCGGCGGGCCGTTGTGAGCAAAAAATCCACTCATCGATCATTGGCGGGCCACCTTTGCCATGAGAGGAAGTTGTTTTCTGTTGTGGAGAAAAGAAGCTGCAAACGATGACGTAGGGAGGAAGAGGCTTGCACTTCGACAACATAGTGCAAAGGAGGCTCACAGTAGGGTTTCACTGAGTTCATTTGATTGCGTCAAGCATTAGGTGTTGCTGGTGGTGGTGGGGGGGGGCGGTGGGTTGGGTTTGGGAGGGGTGGCAGGATGTTGTGATTATTTGGTTTGGTTGAGCCAACTATTCCAAAAGGATTGAACCCAGACTCGATTAGATCGAGTGCATGCCTAAGTCACCCAACACTTAGGCTCAAGCACGCGCCCAAGTGGCGCCTCCTTCAAACGCCTTGTCCAGATCTGTTACAAGGTTCTCAAGCCTCACCTCACTTGAGTGCCTAGGCGAGCGCCTTCTAAAAACATTACCTAATAGAGAAATAGTTCGAGACCAATGTGATGGGTCTTGTATGTTCCCCATAATCCATGGAACTGCTACTGATGTCAAGGATGGCATTATCACCATCACTTCTCTCTATACTTTAATTGTTTTGAAGCTACTAGGGGCTATGACGAAGGAGGCTATTAGCGTTTGTATGAAGGAGCAGGAGGGAGAGGGTGCTATCAGGTGCAATCGAGGAGGCGGTTGTGGAGGAGCCAAAAGGAGAGGGTGTTGTCTGGGGCGACGAAGGAGGCAGGAGGAGGCGGTTGGGGTTGAGTAGAGAAAGAAGGGTGCTTTTGGGTTTGGGGAGGGAGAGGGGGCGACGACCAACAAGGAAGGAGAGAGAAACTACGAGAGTTCGCTAAAGATCACACTCACATAAAAGCCTCTCGTCAAAGGATGTCATTATCGTTATCTATCGGTGGAGAGGAAGATGCCGTTGTCATTCGTCGATGGAGAGGAAGAGGTCACCTTATAGTGTGTCGATCAGGTTTTCCAAGGGAGCAACCTTATGTGCACGACGGTAGGGGGTGTGGAAGTTAAGTTGATTTGGTTCGATCAAACCAGAATCAATGAGCGAACCTATTTAGATTAGGTTTGATTCTATTTCAATTTGCCCCAGGCGAGCGTTGGGATCGCTTGATGCCTGGGCCACGCCCAATTGAAGGTGCTCGCTTGGACCCTACCAAGACCACTTACTAGGTGCTTGGGCGTCACCTCACCTCGCTTGGGCACCTAGGTGAGCACCTGGTGATTTTACAATTTGGAAATGCCTCAGAACTTGAGGATTACGTTCTACAGGTTTATGTGGTTAACAATGCAAAAACTAAAGTTTCCACATGCCTAAGTTTATATCTTAGGTAAATAAGGTTATTTATACATAATGAAGTAGAACATGTGGATTGCATGGGAAAACAAACATTCAAGAATTACTTCCAGAAAACTTACACCACATAGGGGAACTGAGGCAGTACCAGCATGTGGCCCCCCTAGAGAGATGAAATTCTTAACCTGTCATGAATTCCTGATTTGATTAAGTATCATAAAGGAAGCATGACATATCTTTTAGCTAATGGAACACAGTAAGTAGTATAAAGAGAAAACTGATAAAAGAACAGATATTTCAAATATAGCTTTTACTGGTAATTTCTTATGTTCATCAGACTCAATATGTGAACTTGTGATGTACAAGAAAGGTCAATTAAATATGCTTAATCAAATAGAATATCTATGTCATAGCATGTTTGCAAAATATATTAGAAGAAACTAGACAGCATTAAGGAACATTTGTTGATGTGTCCTTCTAGAAGCAACACCTTATGTGCTTTTCTCTTCAAGGTATTAACAAGGGATCAAAATTCAAACATCACTGTAAGCTTGGCAAATAAATTACTGTAGGTTTGTCTTTAGGAAAAACAAATTAATGAGAGAATAAACAAACTGTTGAACCACGTGTTCCAATTTATCACGAATCTCAATACCCTTCGTTCTTTCAATTTTATCAAACGATTATGCTGCAGCTAAGGAGGCTGCCAGGGGAACGTTGAAGACAACTGAAACACAATGTTACATGGCAGGCTAGTCAGACAGTTAAACCTGTAAAAGCTGCCAAGAGGCCATGGGCACCATGGCAAACTGAGTAAACCATAGTAACCCCCTTTTGCATATAATCTACTTTTTTTCCCCTATCTTATGAGTCAAAATTATCCAAGTTTAACATAGGTTTTGCTCAAAAAACTTGTCAAGATCTTCAGGATTTGCAGCATGAGATGGCATATGTTTAACATAGGTGATTGCACTCACAATTTTTTTGGACTCCTTAATTGGATTTACTGCACATGGGGCTTCGTTTACCTTCATGCATTAGCTAGAACAATTAGCACGAGATCAAGTTGGAATGTGAACTCTTTAAGACCAGTACATCTCATATAAGGATCAGGGAAACCTATAGGTGAAATGGATCCAACATACCAATATTAAGCATGTCAAACTGCATAGCAATCAGATGCTCTAGTACTTTCCTGGTACTGGAAGCTGTTATATGCTGGGATTAGTAGCTTACTCAAATAACAAAACTGAGGGAGGAAAAAGGCTCAATTACTTTCCAACAACACCAGAAAGTTCTAAATGGTGGTTACATGATTTTATGTGTCCCTCAATTGTTTCTACACGATGATACAACAACTTTTTGCTATAACTTTTCTGCTACTGAAGAGCTGTCAAACGCTGGATGTAGTATCTTATCCAGATAATAAATCTAAGGGAAAGTTATAAATTAGGGTATAAATCAATTTGTAGATTTTCTTTGGTTTAAGGCCAGATACATGATTGTTTTTTCTACAGGATGATACAAACAGCTATTTGCTTTTGCTATATATTGTTTCTAGAGGAAGATACAACACATATTTCCTTTTGCTGTAACCAAGTTAAAATTTCAAACTTGAGGATCCCATGACCTAGTGTCCAAAGGTTTCTTTATCCTTAGAACTTTTCTGGTACAGGGGCTGTTATTTGCTGGGACTGTCTATACATTATATTTTAACAACTTGTATTGCACATAGTTTTCGATTATGCTGAAACAAAATGCAGACACTTGTGAATAAAATGAAGATCAAGGTGCATTTGGATTGGCTCAAGCAAAGTGGACACTAAGCCATTAAGGACAATATGATTAGTCTCTCATGTGTGTATTGCAGTTATTATTTTGTGACCACAGTGTTCTAAAAATAAGTGGTTTAAAATAACATTTGGAGAGCTTTGGATATATTTTATTATTCATTAACTCATCCCAAAATATAACACAAAATGACTGACAATCACCAGCAGTTGGGGGGTTTTTGACTGACTACAGTTTGCTGTAGTCAACTGCATAAGTATCATTTTAAGGGAATTACCATGCAGGTTGGTCTGCAACAAATTGAAGAAAAGACTAAGCGCAGATGATGACCACTCCTGTGTCCACAACTTTTTATGGGCTATAGATGATTGTACATGTTTGTAGGTGACCACAAACTATCAAGATACAGTCTAGGCATTTTGAAAATTTGAATTACTGTCAACTGCACCTACTTGTCAACGAAGGCATCTTCCTAGATTTGCTCATTGGAAACTGACGACAGCTTTTGCTAGAGGTCTCAAAAATCCATTGTGCTGTACTTTGACTTTTGAACTCTTGAGTGCTTCAATTGCAAAGCTCTATTCTGCTGATAATCAATTCAGTCACTGTGAACCATGGTTTGGTGAGAGTTAGTTGTTTATTTATTTTTAGAATAAGAGAAGGGTCTTCTCTTGTGAGGATCTATCCTTGCCTTCACTTATAAGAAAGTGATATATGAATCGCCGAAGGCCTCAAGGGTTTGAGTATTTGAAACATGCACACAGACTATAGGTCAAAAAAACGAATGGCTTATTATAATTCATTTTCTCTTTCTCACTAAATTCTTACCACTTGTCATTGTTATTGATTTTGCTATTATGATTAGCTTGTGAATGACATCTATTGGTACTTAATAAATGATCAACATATTGTTTATGAGAAGAAATTTGCAGATTCTCAATCAAATCTGTTTTAGTTTTGTGCTTTTGTTGAGGACAACTCAATTTATCCCATCTTGGGGTGCTTAGATCCTCTAACAAAAATCACATAGTCTGGACAAATTAGTTTCGATGGTGGTAGATATGCCAAGTAGAAAATCACTCCAGTAATTCATATATCATGCATTTAATTATTAACAGAAGTATCATCCCTTAAAGTCCTTATCAATTACACTAAAAAGTTGCATGGCTCTATATCTATGTTCTATCATGCAGAATGATCAAGATTTGCAAATAACTTATCGATGAAAAGTACATTATACCTCTGTTCACAATTATCAGCTTATATCTGGAACCCTAAGCTTTCTTAAATATCATGAATAATGTTAGACCAAATAATTCAGTTGTTTAAAAAATTATGATGATAAATTGTAATGTCCCGACCATTTGAGGTTGGCTACATGAATGTTTTATTGTTGAGATATATAAAAAAGAACATCTTTACTTAAATTAAAAGAATTTAAATCTTTATTTATAATCTTACGTAAAGCCTTCTTAGATCTCTCTCTATCTCTCCTCATACCACTAATACTATTTGTCTCACCTCTCTTAACTATAGAGTCCATAAACCTACTTAGCACATTAGCATACCATCATAAATGATTCTACCTCATTTTATCCACTATCAAAGCCTCAAAGGCACCACTAGTTATTATTCATGGCTTCTGAAACAGCAAAGACAAATGATTTCCAGGACAACAAAACAAATTTTGGAAGGAATATATAGAAGTGTAACATCTTACAGGAGGTCCGCCTTCACATGACTCCACTACTGCTCGGCCAATCAAGTTTCCCTGAAAGAACAGTTCAACAGAATCAATTAGTATTTTTAAACTAAACTAGGATCTTTGTTGTCCAATAGAAGCAAACTGCAGAGAGAATAATTGTGGCATCAACATCCACGAAAATACAATAATTCTGCATATTTTCAAACAATTCAAGCACATGCATGTGCATGTGGTTGTAAGTGCACATGTGTGCATACTGGGATAAAAAGCATCATAAGCTGTGGAAGGTACTTATCAAAAATCCTGACAAGAAAACAGTACTTGAATACATAAAAGGACCTGATGCCTGTGAATGCACAATGGTCTTATCACGACTATGTTACAAAAGTGTATGGATAGTATTACATGCTAAATAGGTACACATATGCCTATGAAAGAGAATACAGACCTAATTCTCTAAATGAAAATCTATAATGACTTTAAACAACAGACAAGAAACAAGCCACAGCCACCAAATTCATCCTTATCATATACAATATATGCCACATGGTCAGGCTATTTCTGTTTTAACTAAGCCTTAGTAACTTTACTTTCATTCTAGGCAGAATAAGTTGGATCTACTCCCCTATGGTTTCCTTCTTCTTGTGTTGTCTTTAGTATTTTATGCAGGATTTTATGAAGTAACAGTTTAATCATTAATGTTAAAAAGAAACATGAACCACAAAGTGTATCCACAAGGTCAAACACAGCTTAAAATTTATCACTAACTACTTTGTGGTAAAACACCAATAATATCAAATGGCAGCCAAAAGAAAAATCCAGGGGTTCAGAATATTTGGAAGCCTCTTTACGTTTTATGGTCTGTATCAGTCTCAACTGACAAGTGGTTCATTTGTAGGGAAACTTCAATAAAATAGCCTATCTTAACCACCCACATGCAAATCATTTTGCAGATTATTATCTTTCTCGGGTGTTGCTCACCTTTTGCTCACCCGGACTAGGAAAGGAGCAGGACTGTAATCTTGGTGGCTTATCACTAGTATGAGATAAATGAAATACCCCAAGATTGCAATACATGACATTGGATTAACTAAGTGGACCACTAACCTGAAAAAAGCTTCATATATATAAATCAGAATGGCTGCTGTCTCAGCTGAAGTACACACAAAAAGATAAAATCTGCCTCTAAAATTAGTCAAGTTCAGCTACAAACATAACCATGGTCTTATGATGTTTCAGGTACTGGACCCAGGCTGGTCACTAGCTAGACTGGTATGAATCTTGTACACTGGTGTTGAATTTTTTCTAAGATTTTTCACAATGTTGGGGAGGCATGTGTCACGGTTCGTGCCACCGATCTGACAGGCCATCAGGCTGGTATATACTGTCTGATATGTATCCGTATCGGTTAGAACAAAATGTTATACCATGGAAATAACATGGGCAAACAACTACAATATAAAATAGTTACTAGCTACACTTAGTATTTGCATAATGCTGCATATCTATTATAAGCTTAGGCTTCTATTACCAACTTGATGAAAGTATATGCTATATAACTTATTTTGTAATACAATTAATAATTTTCCAATCACGTATATATCCAGGAGGTGACTACTAGAAGCACAAAGAACATGCAAAAACTTAATATCACCTGCGAAAGACCAACTATGTTGTAACCCATGCTAAGTTCCTCCATCTCCTTTACCTGCAAACCAAGCATGCAATTCAAAGAGCTCAGTGATAAGCACTTTGACCTTTATGAAGAATCAATTCTAATGAACTTCACCCAAACAGCTTAATCACCTTCTGACATGCAACATCTGCCTGTAACATGCGAAATATGTTTGTTAGAAACAGAATGTATAAGAAAAATTCTAGCAAAGGCATACTTTTCAAAGAAGAATATCAACCTGTTCCTGAAGTGGCATAACCCAAGAGTCCCAGACTCCATCTCCAATTTCTCTAACAAACAGTGTAAAATGTCAGACAAAAAACTAGATTTATCAAACAGCCTAAATATGATCCTGAACAGAAAATGACTATATTAATGTCAAGACATGCTATAATAGTGTCACTTATTTGTATCTTACAGCATGAATATGATGTCTAATTAAAGTATAATTCCTAATACATTTCACGAAAGAAATATCCAAATGCAAATTTAGTCACATGTATGGGGAAAATACTAGCATTCACCTAGGTCCTCTTTTTTTTTTTCTTCACAAAGAAACTATGTCTATGATAAAGACAGTAAGTTTGTAAGTAACTTCAATATTAATTTTGAAAAATGAAGACAAATCAGTGCATGAAGCTTCCTTCAATGTAGAATCTGGAGAGGGTCAATATACACAACCTTACCCTTGTAGGGGAAAAAAAAGAAAAAGAAAAGAAAGGCTTTGTAACTCAAACCTGGTCACCCAAGTTACAAAGGAACAACTGTATCATGCACAAGGCTTGCTCTGTTTATTTTTAATAATAGGCAAACTGAGAGTTACTGTCCAAAAGCCATTATTTCTATGTAAAATTTAGCAGAAACAACATCAGGTGGTGTCAATATGCAGAGTAAAGAATCTCATTCAATTTCAATTTACTTCAACAGGAGAACACAATTTGATAACTTCTTTTCTGATGTGAACAAATCTTGATTGAATGACCATTGAAACTTCTGCTACTAGACCTAACATCTATCATCCATTCCTCCCTCCTGCCTAGTTATCAAATATCAATTACACTGACAATTTTTGTTAAAAAAGAAAAAGACTTGTTCCAATATTTAAAACTAGTAAAGTCAGGTGCTGCATGGAAAGATGTACTTATTTTTACAACTTATGCTTAGTGCAATCATTGAATTTTCCCAATCTTGAAAAGCTATGAAATAAAGAAGAAAATGACAAATTGACCACAATAGTCATTTTAAAGGTCTTGACAATAATTATCAAATAGCATATCACACTTTATGCAAGTAACTTTGTCTGTCATTTCTATTTTTGTCACCTCTATCGCGAGGAGCCAATTATATCGTTGAGAATATACATGTGATAACCAGTAAATTTGAGCTATCCCCATCTCATCCTCTCCGTAATCAATAGCTAACTGAGACCTTAAAGCATATTCAAGAGGCAGTATTACAGGAGACTATTAGAAAGCAAAGAATCCTCATGGTGTGGTTGCAAATGACACCATCTGCAGCAATAAGAAGAAAACTGAGGTGTCTAATGCTCGTAATCTAACAGATGAACATACTAAAAAATAAGGATATAATCTAGATAAAAACTCATACATTAAAATCAAACGAACTAACAGAATGACCGAGCTGCAAGAGCTTCATGAACAAAAAAGCGAACAGGAAGAAAGGGGAAACATACATGCAGTATCCCTTGGAGCGAGACCAATCGCTCAAAAGCTGGGTAAACTGCGCAACCCCTTTATTGGCACACTGATCTCCGATCCCTAACAAGCATCACGAGAGAGAGTTCTCACACCGATTCAACAAAATCTTCCGCGATAACCTTTAAGAACCAGGGAGACGGGAGCCATTTGGGATGCGGTCGTACCGTGCAAGACGATGAAGGGGAGGGAATAGGAAGCGGGGGCGGAGACGACGAGGAGGACGACGAGAGAGAGGAACTTTCGCGTGGCCATTATTGTCGCCGCCCGCTCTACGGGAATTTAGGGTCAACTATTCCCCTTCCAACTCGTTTGTTCAGGAAGCGATGACGATGTCTGCGATCGCACGGGCGCCCGTCTAAATAGTTGATCCATGGCACCGAACCGATGCGACGGTTGGTCGTTAAGCGAGCTAAGCGCAGGCCACATCGAGTCTAATCCGACCAGGATTGGGCTCGGTTGGACCGCGTCAATTGTGATCCGACGCCAAACCTAATTGGCGTCACCGATTTCCAAGACTCCAAAGCACATGGTAAGCTATCGCATTTACTACCCAATGAGATGGTGACACGTCGGATACGAATACATAAAATGCCGATTCGGAGTGGTTTAGTAGATTTATTCTTATCATAATTTTCGGTCAACTAATTAGCCCAATATTAATGCACTCAACTTATTTACATTGAGGCCGAGGGTTCGGATACTAGAAATTAAATATTAATGAGTCCGAGTTAATCTAATCATGATTAACATATATCATAAATATTTTCAACACCGAATTCATCCTCAATTTGGAAATTTATAGTATTTGCAATTTCACATTAATCACTTCATGTAAATTTTGAAGCATTCTCATTCTAAGATTTTACTTCTGTTTTTACACTATCATAATGGTGGTGTAAAGAATATAATTAAATTTTTTAAATATTAATTAACTATTATGATCAAGAGCACTAAGAGGGAGAGGAGTGAATTAGTGCGGCGGAAAACTTTCGACGATTAAAACTGCGTTCGTACGATAAAAGCGATTTTGGTAAGAAAGCTAATTCGTAAATCACTTTAACCTGTGATCAAGCGAGATGCAGTTAAAGCAAATATATAAAGGCAGTTTGCAGTTACGATGGAAATCAGAATGTAAGCGCAAACTGAAATATGATGTTCGTACGATAAAACCGATTTCCGTCTTAACGCCGATTCGGAAAATACTTAACTATGAAACACGTTCGTAAATGAGTAGAAGACAGTAAGCTACTGAGGAGGTTTACAGTAAAGATAAGATGCTCAAAGTAAATGCAAACCGAGATTTAGAGTGGTTCAGTCAATCTTGACCTACATCCACTTTTGGCTTCCTCCACCAACGAGGTCACCGACATCCACTAGAGGCCTTCCTTTAATAGACGAAGGCCAACCACCCTTTTACAGTTTCACTCCTTTTGACGGGCTTAGGAGACAACCCTTACAGAAATTTCTCTCCTCTCTTGAAAGATCTAAACTTGGAAGAAAAGGAGGAGAACTTCTAGCCTTTACAACACTTTTGAGCTCTAAAAATAACATAGTAAGATTGGATTTTTGGTGCCCTTTCATGCAGGAAAGGGTGGGGTATATATAGACTCCAAACTAGTTTGAATTTGGAGCTCAAAAATATCTTTTCCCGAATTTCCGGAGTCCTGGCGGTACTACCTCCTGACTGGGGCGGTACAACCGCTTGGCAGCTCGGAGACTGAGCCTCTGGGCGGTGCCACTGCCTGACAGGGGTGGTTGCACCGCCTGGCAAAGCTCGGAGACTGAGCTCAGGCGGTTGCACCGCCCAGTCTCGCTCGGAGACTGAGCCCAAGCGGTGCCACCGCCTGACCTGGGCGGTTGCACCGCCCAGCTTTCCTGGGAGACCATCTCCTAGGCGGTGCCATCGTTGACCCTGGCGGTGCCACCGCCTGGCAGGAATTCTAGTCTGAATGGGTTAATCCATTCGGCCCAATTTGGGTCTGTCAAGGGCCCAATTGCCTCCAGATTAAGTTAATGAGATCACCTCCCATTCCTAACTTAATCTGCATGCTAACTACGACATTTCTTAAGACATTTACTACAACTTGCTCCAGTGCATCAATCGCTTCTTCCGGCGAGCTTCCAGCGAGCTTCCGGCGAACATCCGACGAACCTTCGACGATGCTCCAGCGGACTTTCGGTAAACTCCTGGACTTGCAATGATCCACTTGGCTAGTTCCGAGGAGCTTCTTTGGCAAGCTCCTGGACTTCTCAGATTTGTTCCCGCAGAACCTCCGACGATCGTCCGGACTTCCGTCGAACTATCGAACTCCCAACGTGATCATAGTCTTGACTCTGGCGTAACTCCTGCTGCATGTCTTTCTTCCATCGTAGTTAATCCTACACACTTATCTCAACATATGGATTAGATAACAAATGACAATTGACTTCATCATCAAAATCCGAGATTCCACGTTAACAAGTTTAGTTGGTAAAAAATAATTACCTTGCAATGGTTGTGTAACATATTTACTTAATTAAAAATAATAATTATGGAGCTCGGTTGATAAATATTTCTCATATTATTATAAGGTTTTGAAATCAAATCTAGTATTGAATAGATTGATGGGAATCTTGTACGTGCATAAACCCAGCAGCTGAATCTTGTACGTGCTCAACGTTTCGGCCGCCTTGGACTGGTCAAAGAACGTGAGGCCCCACTTGTAGACTACAGGACCCACTGGCGAACAGTAGGGCTCGGAGTCTGCTTCGACGGCCGGACTGCTTCGTTGATGCATCCACCGGGGCGCAGGGTTGACTAATGGATTCCTGTCAACAGAAGACTACTGATAATTATTTTTGTTGGAATTAGTTTGGCTTGTATTTTTGGCATTGATTAATGGTGGTACAATTATATATCATAAAAATATATATATTTAATAGATAATTATTTTTTATTATTTAATATATCTGATAAATATTTTTTTTTTACTCTAAAATGAATTCATTCCGGTCATATGGGTAGTGGCGACTAGGTTTTAAGGATGACAGATGCTGTTTTGGATATTCTTTATTTTGATGATGATTTGAAAATCATAAATTAAAGAAAAAAGAATTTTCTTTTCAACTATCCTAAATTTCATCAAACATTAAATCAAAATATTTTGTTCCAACGTTGCAAATAAAGAAACGCACAAAACAAAAGCAAAGAAAAGAAATCCTGTCTAGTTAACGAAAACGATGGTATATATGTAATTTCGTTGACACTTCTATCTCCCACGGGAGAGAGTAACTGCTTGCCGTTACGGCCTGTGGAGCTAAACAGCGAAAGGGTTCCCTTCGGGTCGTCGGCCGCCTTCGATTCCCGCGGCTCCGCTGCTTTCTCCATCTTCGCCGCCACCATCTCTTCCGACCCCGACCTCGTTATCTGTTACTGGCGGGTGCCGGTGCTCGGATCTACCGACCTCGTTGGGGAAGTTGAGGATGGCCCTGCAGCCGCGCATCCGGAAGGCGGCGCGGTCATACGCCCTCGCCGCCTCCAAGGCGGTGGAGTAGGTCCCGAGCCAGATCCTGGACCCCCGACGGTTGGGGTCCCGGATCTCCGCCGCGAACTTCCCCCAGGGCCGCTGCCTGACGCCACGGTACCGCCGCCCGACGGCTTGATCCTCCGCCTCGGATGATACGCCCGCCGATTCCCGTGGCCACGACTCGGCAAACGGGGCCGGCGGGAGGGGCATGGATAGGGTCGGTTCGACGGCGGCGTAATGGAGAGGAGGAGGGGTGGATGATGGAGGTAGGTCGGCGAGGAGGGACTCGAAGTCGGCGGCGTGTAGTTGGTGGGGAAAGAAGTCGAGGGTGGAGGAGTCGTCGACGCCGAGATGGTGCTCCATGGCGGGGAAGAGCGCGGAGTGAGAGAGATTTATATACTGCGGGAGGAAAGAGCGGGTTCGGTTTATTGTGGGAGAGAGGACGCTCCATTCTTTCTCGACTAATATAGAGTGACCAAAAGAAACGACAAACGTCAACTAGTGCTTCGATTAGTGACTGTCCGACGTGGGACTCGGTTAATGGAGCACAGGTTCGAATTCGAGCCCCTCTTTTTCCCTAATCAACAATTGCCGATTTTGATTCAACTTTGTCGTCTAAGGTAAATACATCGAATACACTATCGTTCTCATCAAATGTTACATTTTAGTCATGAAGAGTCGAACCCTAATCTAAAGTAAATTGAGTCAAGCAGAATGACGACTGTGGGACTGTAGATACGGATTAAAAAAAAAATAACAATTTTGTATTCATTAAAAATATTTGACCATTTATCCAAAAATTAAGAATAAAAAGAACACGTTCCTTGTAAGCAAGAAAAATTATATATATATATATATATATATATATATATATATATATATATATATATATATATA